CGCGCTCGAAGTAGAGTACTGAGACATCGATGGTTCTATTCCTCTAACTTTTCGATGTCCTCTGGGTGGAGCTACCAATATTCATGACCTATCTAACGGGACGAGCACTCTCTTTCAGATGCAGACTTCTCGTCACCCTCATGAAGGTCTCCGCAGCTGAAAAAATGTTCGCCTCTCAGTTGAAATGCATCCTCAATTTAAGCTTTGGATTAGCCATTTGGAAACATAGGCCAGAAGAGGTAATTGAATGTGCTGACTTTTTCGATAGGGAATGAGTCATCGGTGTTTATCTCCCATTGGCATGCCTTACGAAGAAATCCCTTATTTTGAGGCACTAATATGTGGCACTTCATTTACATAAAATAGGATTCTGTCGCTTCTGTGCATTTCTAATACGATGGTGCCGTCGACTGCACATACGAAAGTCGGATCTGACCTTCACACCGTCACTTCCATCGAAGTAGGTTAGAATCCAATCGACGGCAAAATTGAAAATTCCAAACTGCGTTGCTCGATAATGACCAGTTCATATCCACGATGGCAAGTACTGCTCGACTCGCCATGGTTTATGGCCAGATTGCTGGTCTACTACCAAAGTTGAGGAAATGAAACTTGTACTAGAGCAAAGATCGACGGAAAGAAGAATATGAAAGGTTGGAACTTTGAGATCGCAATGATTCAGCGTGGGACGACAACTCGAAGAGACGATGGCCTGTACCTGTGGCTCATCTGAATGATGTGAAGGTGTAAATTTTGAGTTAGCCAACTGGACGGCCTCTTTTCAGCGGTCATGTACCAACACGCTGGAAAGACTCAACGATGAAACTGTATGGTCAACGGTAGTAGCAAAGGTCACACAACGAGAGGAGTGGCGGATCGTCGACTTGCATCTATGGCGTGGCCGCTGGTGAAAACGAATGGAATGGAAGGATAGAAGAAGTATATATGCACAACGGAAACAATAATGATAATTGCGTGATTAATCCGTACCGACGTTTCGACTCTGTATCAAGGGCATTCTTCAAAGCAAAGCCGGTTGAGTTCCAAAGTTCCTTCTCTGGTCCACAGCAATTATAACGTCTGGAGTCACAAAACAAGTCGACCCGCTCAACGTTGAAGAAGGCCCGTGAAACACGAACCGAAATACTCATATTGGTTAATCATCATACTGACAATATATTTTGTGTTGTATAGTAATGAAGCTTATTTCATACTGTTTTCAGTGTGATCACTAAGGCAAGTACGAAGCACTCAATTTTCAGACACACTTACTTCGGTTCGCTTGAGCTTCTTGTATGGCACGCAGTTGCTCTGCTTCCTCATGCACTCGCATAAGGAGAATGACCACGGACATCAATCTATCTGCTAAGTTGACCAATCGTTCACAGCAGAGTTCCATGCTTGACTCGTGACAGCTACCTTGAGAGCGGAGACTCCCTGAAGAATTCTACGACAGCACAAGAAATGACGCAAAAATACGGATGAACCATCTCTATAAGGCTATTCGGTTTACAATCGAACGTTATTTGCAACATCGATTTAAACTTAAAATTAAAAAATGACCCAAATTTAATTTCTGTATTTCCATAATTAAACACTGCAAAGGTGTAAAGTATCAAATACGGCGTTCCGTCATAAGCTTGAACGACGCGGCGAAGTAGAGGGACGCTTAACGATAAATTTAGAATTAATTAGCTTAATCTCAGCTCTAAGATCAAAGTGACGAAAACACCACTATTATATGCGATCAAGAAAGATTATGTAACGAATGTACCGGCTTGAGCAGTGTTATCATGCAAAATATTTTTATGTCATGCCAGCTCAAGTTGAACGAATACGCAGCATTTTGCCGATAAATTAATTTTTAACAGTGTTTGTGTCATATGACATGCATTCTTTTCAACAGATGTTTAAACTGAATCAAATCGTTGATTTTAAATTGAATTCATTCATTTATTCATCTTCAATAATCGCTTGTCCTTTCGGGTGGGGAGGCAGACGTGTCAGACAAAGCTTCCAATGTTCCAGATCCTGTGCCAGAGTCTGAGCTTCGGCAGAAGACAACGGAAGTTTGGAACAGCCGCTTTCCAAATATTTGCACCAGGTTAATCTTGGCCTCCACTGGGCCTTCTGCCAGTCGGTTTGACAATAAACACTTGTTTCGCCTTCCTTTCTCAAGGCATTCGCCACAGACGCCCAAATTATCGCAGCTATGACTTCTCAATCTGTAGAAGCAACGGCTTTGCTCTACCATGCCTCTCTCGATTACCAGTAGCCCGGACCATATCGAGACGCGAAGGGCCAGCCGTTCGCCACAGAAAGCCAACTTCAGGCGCTTGTACCTGGGATCAAAGTTTTTCAATCATGGTTCACGATACATGACCATAGATGAACATGGGGATGAAGATCAACTTGAACACCGAGGCACTTTAATCTCCAGACTCAGCTTTGCCTCAGTCACAAAAATTGAAGTCCATTTAAATATTGTGCTCTATTCTGAACTTAAATATTTTTATACAGAATAAGGAGGTAAATAACCGTTATAAATTTGGAGCAAGATCGACAACGATCCTACGTTTGAAAACGTCAAACTAACTTTGGAATGGGTTGCTTTCTAAGTAGTTATACATTTCTGGAGCAGGTGCATTGCCTGGTACTGGCTGCTCCCTAGCTACATTTGAAAGTGCAATCACTAAATGGTAAGGGTTTCAAATAGGGTCATGAAAATAGAAAACCAAAATATGCTTTAGGCTGAGAATACGCGATCAAAGTTATATTAGAACATGCAGTGAGATAAGCAACATATTCACTTTGAATTAACAGCATTGGTCACATCCTAGGACAAATCGCTTTCGAAGGTGTCTGTTGTAGTTATTAAGGTATGTGTCATACGACGAAACTTCAAGCGGGAGAAAACGCTGCTTTGAACTTAAACTGCATGCATCATTTATTAAAATAAATGCGTATGATATTTTGATATGGTCAGTATATAGTAAAGACAGATAGACGACTGCGCGACCACTCTTCAATGCGGACCAATTACTGCAACGATCCTGCATCTCTTGGTGGTACTTCGTTCTTGACCCTGCTATTGCAAATCACGATGACCACAACAACAAGAACTCTTGGTGTTGATAACTAAGAGAAGGAAAGTTGGTCAATGTTGGAATGGCGGTTTTCTGTCACTTTCACGATTCGGCGATTTTGGGACCTTCCTTTGATGAATTTGATCATGCGGTGCTGATATCTGTTGTTGTGCCATCAGGCAGGAGTGCCTTATTTTTTTAAAGGCAGAGGTCGCAGCCATATGTGAAGCGTAACATTTAGTCTCCTGTTTCCTTCCCACCTAGTGGTACTCATATATCAACCTCGGAAAGAAGAGCGAGTGACCCTGACCCGCGCTTGCGCTCGGGACTCTGAGTTAGACGCTTTACCTATTGAGCTACCCCGATATGAAGCAATGTGACAAAAAAATTCCTTGTTCAAGGGAATTCGTAAATAAGACAAAAATTGCTTTCGCGCGGAATCGAA